AAAAGAGTGGGTTTTTTATAAATCAAGCAAGTGAAACCTCTTAAGTTAAATTTGAAATGTTAAGTCTTTAATGCACTAGTCTTTTACCAAAAACACATTGAAGGGATGTATCCTTGTACTGCGAAGCGAAGTCGCAGCATTGCAGAGGCAGCGGTTGCTGGTGATGTACCCAGAGCCTGTGCAGGTGTACAGGGAACCGCCGACATCATGGCCAGCATCTGCAGGTGGGGGGAGAGACTGAAATTTTAAAAAAAAAAAAAAAAAAAAAATCCATTAATTAGTTTATTAGTGGAGATTTTAAAAAGCAGGAGTGTTTTTTTCTTATTCCACTGAGTTTAAAAAAAAAAAAAGATACGAGGCTGAGATCCGCTACCTTTAAAGTTTTGGAGGGAACAGAAGGCAGAAATAATCAGCTTATTTCACAAGGTACAGATAGGTGTTTCCAGTGTTTAATAAGTCAGCTTCAAATATAAAATGTTCCCATTATCTTAAACTGTTCTTCTTTATGAATCCAGTGCATTGAAGTTTGCATGTACTGAAAACATTTTAATTAAATTCCAATTCCCATCCATACATAGCTTTATACCAATCATTTAATTAAAGTTTTTGCAAATTATTAAATATAATATGTCTGCCATTTCTAAATAAAAAGTAAAAAAAGCTGATCGAGCTCTTTTTTAAATGCAAATAGGTGTAACCTGTGCTCTTGGCTAACAAGAAGTTTTACTGAACATAGAGGAGAGGCTAAATTTCAAATCCCAAACTGATGTGTTTTAGTGATTGCCAACAAATGAGAAGCTAAAAGCTGTAATTGCAAAACCAGATTTAAATGTCTACTTTCAGTTTTCCCAATTATTCCTGCAAACTCTTAATAACAACCTGCGGCTAAAATATTCCCGATTAAAGCAAGTTTCTGCTGCCCGTGTCCTTGGAGCTGAGGCCCAGCCACACATTCTTTCACTTTGGTGCCTGAAAAGGAAAACAAAATAATAATTTTTTTTTTTTTTTTAGTCTTTTTCTTTTATGTTTTGGGATGCCATGGGAAAATATTTCTCACAAAGGACTGTGTGACCTTTCCTTTGCCGGCTGCTTCTGCCCCTTCTGAGTGCGTTTTTAGATGATGGGAATTTCTGACCATGTTCAGAATCCCAGAATGGCAGGGGTTGGAAGGGACTTTGGGAGATCACCCAGTCCAATCCCCCTGCTAAAGCAGGCTCACCCAGAGCGGGGTGCACAGGGCTTTGAATATCTCCAGAGAAGGAGACTCCACAGCCCCCCTGGGCAGCCTGTGCCAGGGCTCGGGCACCCTCAAAGTCAAGAAGTTCTTCTGCGTAGTCAACTGGAACCTCTTCTGCTTCAGTTTGTGCCCATTGCCCCTTGTCTTGGTGCTGGGCACCACTGAGAAGAGTCTGGTTCCGTCCTCGTGACATTAGAGTTGGTTGACCAGCAGGAAGGGACTGTCTTCCCACTTGTTTTGTTTTGATAAAAGTGCTCCACGTGCTTTGAGCAGGTCTTGCCCCAAATGGGTTATTTTGCAAAATCCAAAATACAAGCTGTCCCCTTGGCTTTTCCTCCACGTAAGATAAACAAGCCTGGAAGGCAGCTTCTTTGCAAGCTCGGCGCTTCAGTCCTTCTCGAAATGGGCCTGGCGGTGATAGAGCTGTAATACCCCGGGAGAAGTTATGAAGACTTTCCCACTGTTGCGTTGGCTGCAAATCTTTTCTTCTTTCATGAGCTGATTTCTGTCTGCTGAGACTGTTCCAATGGCAGGGTATTACTACTCGGAACGCTTTCTTCTAGGTGACCCAGCCTTCTTGGACATTAGGAGACATCTTTTCACTGAAAGGGTTGTCAAGCATTGGAACAGGCTGCCCAGGGAAGGGGTCGAGTCCCCATCCCTGGGGGTATTTAAAAGCCAGGCAGCTGAGGTGCTTAGGGACAGGGTTTAGTGGTGGGATGGCAGGGTTAGGTTAATGGTTGGACTTGATGATCTTAAAGGTCTTTTCCAACCTAAACGATTCTATGATTCTATGATTCTTTTCTAAAAGATAGTCCCCTATCTAGCCCAAGCCCAGGATCCCCCCTCCACTGGACAGAGTCTTACAGCAGGGTGTTGCCCACCTTTTGCTCTTTGTAAAGCCTCTCTTCTTGAAGGAGTTGCTGCAAGGTAGCTTTACACCTACACTGTGTTGACAGATGAACTCCGGATGGTTATTACCATTGCCATGGCTTTGTTGTTGGTAACCTATTGATCTTCTTGTTCCAGTCATCTGTTCTTTCTCTTACTGGTTCCAAAGACTGGGGGAAACATGCTGGCTCTGGGTGAGGGGGAGGCTACCCTCCCTGCTCCACAGAAGCAATCGGATAAAGCCCTCTTAGATGTTGCTTTTACATGAGGCCAGCTGAGGATCCAGCTGTGATGGGTCTTTGCCATGTTTTTTGTAGCACCTCAACTGTATTTGAAAAATATTGTGTTTGAAGACAGAAGCATGAGTAGAAGTCAAGTGAGGATAAATCTCTGCTGCTCTCTGCTCTGGAGCCCTGATGTGCTGTCAAAAGGAGAGACAGTGTTAAGCAACTAAAAGGTGTTTTCAGAAAAAAAACCAAACAACTGTGTGGATTTGGGGGCTGTCTTGGTGCCAAGGCAAGAGTGACACAGCACAGTGTCACTCCATGCTGGAGAAGCCTAAGAGGCTGCTGGATGGCGGAGCGCAGTGGTGCGTGGAGATCCTCATGTTGATCAAAATGAGCAGTATAACCATGTTAGCCCAGCCTCAAGGAGGGTTGATTTAATTTGGCCCCCACATCATGCTGACATAGTTGCACAGGATTAATTTCTGCTTGTCCTGCTGGTGCGACTTTGTATCATGAACTGTTGTGTTGGGTAGACCTACTAGATGTGTTGGGGTTTTTTCTGCCAGGAGGTCTTCATCCTTATCTGGAGATACCTGCTCTGGTCGCTTCCACTTCTAAGAGTGTTTCCTTCTAAATCTGCAAACTCGTAAATCCATAATTTTCCTTGCTGGTAACAGAATCTGGAAGAAACTCATGGTCTCCAGCTTGCATTTCTCAAAGCTGCTGTCTTGATGTTCTTCAAGAACACAACACATGTCCATTTGGTTTTTTAGCATCTAGTATACTTGTAGGAGCTCAGTGCTCCATGTACGCAACATGCTTTTACACAGTAGGCTTAGCAGCCTGGCTTTCCCACAAGTATTAACAATTTTAGATTGGACATTAGGAAAAATTTCTTCCCTGAAAGAGTGGTCAAGCATTGGAAGAGGCTGCCCAGGGAAGGGGTCGAGTCCCCATCCCTGGGGGTATTTAAAAGTCAGGCAGCCGAGGTGCTTAGGGACAGGGTTTAGTGGTGGGATGGCAGGGTTAGGGGAACAGTTGGATTTGATGATCTTAAAGGGCTTTTCCAACCCAAACGATTCTATGATTGATTCTATGATTCTAACCAAACTGCCTTGCTTCTCACCCTCCAGCTGCCTCCTGCAGCTTCAGATCTGAAAATGCTTTACAAAGGAGATAAAAATCCTTCATCCTATTTTGCAGATACTTGGGGCAACAGCAGCAGAGTAGCTTGTCCCAGCCCAGCCAGGATGTCCAGTGTTGGTGGCAGGAGGAGGCAGGAGCTGGTCTTCCTAAGCCCTCATCCCAGTCCTCTCCTCCCTATGAGCCCTGCTTCTCATTTTTAATGGATTAAAATTCCCATTCTCACCACCCATGTCCTTCTTTGACATCTACAGAAATAGCTTGGCTTTCCAGTGTACTGAGGTCATTTTGGGAAGGTGGAAAGAAAGCATAACTAAGGAGAGGAGCCCTTGCTAGGGAGTGCTGTGCCAACAGGTCGATCATCTCTGTTCATAGAGGCTGTAGGTTCTGGTTACTTGGTCTCCATTTATCTCAAAGTTACATGAGGAACCCCATAAGCAAGTCCTACGTGGATGTCCACTGTCCAATCCCTGATGAGCAGAACAAACCACGTGGGGGCTTTGGCTGTGCTAGAGGATATGGCCGGTATTTAGGAGCGGATTACACAGGTAGTTTGATAGAGAAGTTGGCGTTCTTGTAATAATTTTGCTTTAAACCTGAGGTGACCTACATGGCGTCTTTTCAGGGTGACTTCCTGAAGATGAGACCTTCCAAACAGGCAGAGCCGGAGCTGCCCCTGATGCAACCGGGTGGGAAGAGCTGCTATTGCAGAATGGGCATAATAGGTTTCCTGGGCTAAACCCCACCTCGCGGGTGCCCTGCGCCAGCTGCAGCATCCAGCTGAGTTGGGCAGGCAGCTCCGTGGGGACCGTGTGCCGTAATCCCATCTGGGAGTCACAGAGGTGCCCGGCGCTCGGGCCCACAGCCATCCCAGTGGCGGGTGCTTCACCCACTTCCTCCGCTCTCTCCCCCTTGCTGGAGCTGACACCCATTTTCCCCGCTCCTGACCCCGGCGGGTGCCTCTCCGTACCAGGACCACAGGCCCCGCAATCCTCACCCACCCCTGAGACCCCTAAACGCAGCCCCCCAGGAAAGCTCTGCTAATGCTGTCCATCATGAATAGCTCTAATCCACTCTTTATTCATTGCCTTGATGAATTTACGGCTGCACCCTTGCTGGCATCTCCTCCAGCGGAGAGTATCCCATTAGAGGCGTGACTCCCTGGCTCGGCATACCATGACCTGCTGGGCCATCGCTCATTGAGCTTTCTGAACCAAATTCAATACTGAAAGTTTTCATGGCGCTTGCGAGAAGGAGCCGACTCTTTGGTGTTGGGTGGCTTGCAAATAGACGGGCTGGCTAACGCCTGCTCTTCCTAATTGCGATTCAGTGCAGAGAAATTATTAGGAAGATATTAACCATATAATGTTTTGGCAGGGTGCTGGGTGGCAGTCATCATTTCTGCTGCTACAGGATGTTTAAAAAAAAAAATTAAAAAAAGAAGGACAATAAAGTAGGCTTTTTTGTTGGAAAAGAAGATTTCATGTTATCTGTGTTTGCAGGCTTTCTGGCTCATATGCTGGAGGAATCCTTGCTGCGGGGGTGTTTTCATTTTCTCGTCTAACATGGCAGTGGTCCATCACGGCGGAGGTTTTTAGCTTAAACAATCTGTTTGTGGGGCTGCTGATGGCTCTCACCGTGCATTTTGAGGAGGCATCCACTGCAAAAGAGAGATCAAAGGTAAAACATCTCAAGCAAAGTGAATAGTTCTTTATTTTCTTTCAATTAGTTATCACACGTCTGTTTGATTTCCTGTTCATTTAGGGTTGATTTAGTTTTGTTTAAATGAAGAAGGCCAAATTTTGGGACCGGGTTCAGCACCTGTGCTGGGTGGGATCGATCCCTGCCCTACCTGGATGTTCAAAAGTGCCAAACATTGAAAAATCTGCTTGGCTAAAGGGTTGAATTGGGACCTGTTGGATGGGTTTGGGGTTGGTTTGTTTAATACATGCAGGGTGGAAACAGGAGAAGCAGAATCATTCTCATTTAAATGTTTCAGTGCAGAGTTTGAGTTCCTGCACCAAAGACTCAGGCAAGGCTGTGGGTGTTCAAGTTTTTGTTTTCAGAACTGATATTTTTTCCTTGCAGTACATAGATATGTTGTACAGAAAGCTCCATCTAGTCAGAAACCCGGCTTTCAACTGAAAAACAGAAGCGACCAAATTTCCAATCAGTTCTTCTTTTGAAATTAGATGTGACCCTAAAATAATGGCATTGTGAAATACAGAGACTTTAAATTTCATACTATATTATCTACTTTATCAACAGGCTGGGCAGCCAAGTGACATTTTTACTCAGCAGTCTTGTTCTTTCTACTTCTATTTGCCTGAATCTCTGATCTCTTCTCCTCTAGCAGACTTGCCTGCTGTGACTCCTGTAAATTGTGTGAATAAAAGGATTTTTGTTGGGCTAGGCTAGAATTTTAGGAGTCTGCAGTGGTAGTTTACTCAGCTTCGTGAGTTCTCAAATAACATGTTTTATCAGTGGTTACAGAGACCTTGTTTCACCATTTTTTTTTTCTTTTCTGACGAGTATTGTCCCAAGATCTCCACAACCTGAACTCCACGAAGATGGAGTTGGGCATTTTCCAACCTGCTTCCACGTTTCACACGCCCAATTTCCAATGGGATTTCCAGATGAGATTTTCAGAAGCAGTTAAGGAGCTCGTTTCAATGTTCTTTGGGTGTCTGGTATCCCATACCTTGAAGAAGCCAGGCTGCCAACAGCAAGCTCACAGCACTTCTCATAAATCAGACGGTCGTGTGAACATCTTCAGGGGTGTGCTTGGAGTTCATCCATACACTTGAAAAAATCCTGGGATTGTCCTGAGTCCTGCAGGGAGCTCTGAAGCCCACAAATTTTTTTCAGAAGTTACAGCAGGTGTTTCCATAGCAAGGCAACATTTGATGTTGAATGCTGGGCAGTCAGTTAAAAATTACCAGTTGATCCAGGGGCGATGCTCTGATGATAGATGGAAGCACTGCCCTCCTTGGGGATGGCTGGGGAGGTGAGGATGGGTTGTCAGCTCCTGTCCAACATCGTCTGTAGGACTCTGGTGGCTTTTTGCCCACCAAGGAGCTGCTCTGGGGCTTGGCTTCAGGTTGTAACATGGACCATGCAGCCAGTGATGGTGGAGGAGGAGGAAAATTCAGAGGAGGAGCAGTGGCCAGTAGTGTACCTGGCACTGTCCCAAGGTTCCTATATGGACTTGCTCTTGTAGCTTCGTCCTCCCCCACTGAACGAAGAGGACTCAGCACTGGTCTGATGTTTAGCTGTTCAGCCTGGAGAAAAGGAGGCTGAGAGGAGACCTTATCGCCCTCTACAACTGCCTGACGGGAGGTTGTAGTGAGGTGGGTGGGCACAAGGTGCCCATGAGGTAGTGGGCAATAGGATGAGGGGAAATGGCCTCAAGTTGCACCGGGGAGGCTTAGGTCGGACATTAGGAAAAATTTCTTCCCCAAAAGGGCTGTCAAGCACTGGAAGGGGCTGCCCAGGGAAGGGGTCGAGTCCCCACTCCTGGGGGGATTTAAAAGCCGGGCAGACGAGGTGCTTAGGGCCAGGGTTTAGTGGTGGGATGGCAGGGTTAGGGGAACGGTTGGGCTTGATGAGCTTAAAGGGCTCTTCCAACCTAAAAAATTCTATGGTTCTATGGTATTGGGACAGAGCAGAGCATGTGGCAGCACGGGGCAGAGAGAGGCTTTCCTTAGCATCGGCCAGGCAGGGCCAGGTACCAATAATGAACCTGTGCGTAATCCTCAATGAGTACCAGAAATCCCCTGCACCGTGCTGTGTGGTCTGGATACGTTGCCTGTTCTATCAGGAAACTCTTGCAAAGATGCTTGAAAATGAGCTTTTAGACTAATGAGGGATATCACATTTAATTCCCTTTGCTTAGGAAGTTTGTGTACCCCTGACTTTAGACCTCTCTGCCTGAAGAGGAGGAAAAAGTCATGCCTGTTGTATGAAGTGAAGTCTCTGTACATAGTGGCATTGTTTTAGGGTATGGCTTCTGAAAACTTTGCATCATTTGGAGTTCACCGCTGAGCAGTCTTCCCTGTGCAGCAGGGGTTCAGGAATTGGGCCCCATCGCATCGTTACAACACGACGGTGCTACAGATGATCTGCGTATACATGGGGACACAGCCGTTGCGCTGGATGCTTCTTAAATAACATTTTCTGTTCAACAAAGGAAATCTCCCTGTTAATAATCAAAAATAGCCTGTGTTACCCGTGTTACAGCTGACCTGTGCTCACCAATGTATTTGCCTTTCTCCTGTAAGCATGCTGGGGGCTGCGCTGAAGCTCTTTTGGTCTCTGGATGGTTTTGCAAACTGTAAAGAGTAATTGTGAATGTGGTTTCGTTCCCTTTCAGATCTCTAAACTTGGTGCCTTTTGCTGCGGGCTCAGTTTGTGCAATCAGCACACAATAGTGCTTTATATCGCTTGCATTGTGCCTTGGGTTCTCTCCCGGCTTTTCAGAAAGACGGTAAGTATTTTGCTGACCCATACCTCTGGTTTTGTACGGCACTGAGCAATTCTTCTTTCCAAGCACTTTTGCCACTTCCATGGTGATGTACAAACAGGGACAGCCAGTGGTCCGCCTAAACAAGTCAGTTGTAACCCTCTGAAGTTACAGTCCGTCAGTCTGACACCCAGGCAGCCGATCAGGATTTAGGGGCTTTGCTCCCACCAGCAATCTGCAACCTGCCCGTGTCTCCTGGCACAGGACTGCTCTGCCCCAGCTGCTTGCAAGTATGCAGCCATGAGACTGATGCTTGGAGCTTAAAACTGCTCAGCATGTAGGAAACAAGAGCAAGTTCAACCTACCAAACAGGAAAGCAGATAAATATCTCCTGGAGGGAAGTCACAGGCATGTGCAGTCTGGGTGCTGCTTCTTCTGGCTGATGGCACTGGCTTTCTCATGCCATCAACTCATCTGGAGATGAGTTTCTGGATGTTGATTCCCTGGTGGTAACAAACAAAAGCCATGTCTGCTCGTTGCAGAGCATCTTGTGACTACTGTTGGTAGTTGAAGGCGCAGCCGGAATGAGCAACACGGCAAGAAGGCTGCAGAGGCTTGTCTCTGGGGGGAAAACTCTTCAGCATCTCCCTGGGATGTGCCAGGCTCGGTGGCCTCCAGCTCTGATGGAGCCACTAGAAGAGATCAGCTCTCAGGTGAAGAGTGCCTGGCTTGTGCCAGCTGGAGAAGACTAGAGGAAGGCTGATCTTCAGTGAAACAGCCTCTGATCCGGTCAAGAATGTCCCTTCCATCTCCTATCAGAGATCCCATTGTGAAGAGGTCCATCCTTTTACACCTTTTTATTAAATTCGGTCATTGTGTAAGGTGAAAACATCTTTTTGCATGCCTGGCTTAGGAAGGTGACACACATCTATCTGGGTGAGGCTCCCGGGTGACGTTCAGGGGCCCTGCAATGCTCTTGTCCTCTGAAGGTGACCTGTGAATTGATGTATCAGGGTGGATGCAGACATGTTGTAGGAACTCTGCTTTGCCCTGAAAACGGCTGCATATCTCAACTACACAGATGCTCTGGACACTTTGCAGGGGGCCTTGAGAAGCCTCCACCTACTCTGCCCCTTCTCTTTGCCCCTGCGAAGGCAGCAGTTGGGCAGGTCTCTGCTGGGCCAGTCTTGCCTGTATTTTTCCACCCTCGACCTGATAAATCAGGTGTGATTCCGAGCAAAGGCACAGGGTGTAACTAAGCCTGGAGGAGCCTGCGAGCTGCAAGAGAGAAGATGCAACTCAGACAAGCTTGATCCAAAATCTGTTCAGCGTCTCCAGCAAACCCCTTTCTGACGATGTAGTTCCTTTAACACAACTAAGACTCGCTTCTGCAATATATTTGTGTTCTTTAAACAGACCTTTTGGGGTTTTTTTTAACCGGGGAGGTCCAGAGAGACTTTTGTGATTTCCAGCAAGGACAATCCTATGCCAATGTAATATTCCTGGGAGATGCTTTAGAAAGCACAGTAGTGCCTGCTGCAGAAAACCACCTAAGAAGAAGAAGATCTGATGGAAAACAGTGCCTTTTTTAAGTAAAAAAAAAAAAAAAAAAAAAAAAGAAGCCAGCTTTCTTCTGAAGGAACTCTGGTCACCACCATTACCAAGCTACTTTTTCTGCTCTGTAGATCATCGCTCTGAATGGTGCCTCTTCCCCATAACCCCAACTGCTGAAGAAGTGCTTTGATTGACAGGCCAGTGGCTAACAATAAAGCAAGCGTGCAATATTCTAGGGTGGGATTTTCCAAAGCACTTAAAGGAGTTAGGCACAGAAGTCCCTTTGAAAGTCTTGTCTTCCTGACCCCTTAGGCAGTCTTGAAAATCCCACCCCAAAAGTTGGCCTATCCAATTTAGCCAGTGTAATCGCGATAAAGTAAATGGCAAAACTGACTCCTGATGATGGTGGTGATGTGTGTAGTTGTACTAGAGCGGCATTTTTTTTATTTTTTTTTTTTGCCAGATGGAATACCAGCCAACTCTTAATCGCTGCAAAGTGGGTTATCTCAGCCTTGCAGTGCTTCAGCCATCTATGCATGTCATGCCATGATTTAAATGTGAAAGATGCAATGAGTATGATACTCATGAGTCCTAGCTAATATTATTTGCTTCACTTAAATTTCACCCTGCCATGCAAAGGAGATCAGTTTGATGCAGTTTCCTAGTAATCCACAAAATCGTAAGGTTTAACATAGCATTTTGTAGGGACTTACTATAAATTGAGAGATCAGCTCTGTGTAAATATATTTGATGTTTTTTCTTTATCTGTTCTTGAAGTTCCAGCGTGATTAAACTAAAATAAACATTGTTATGCAATATGACATATTTTGGTGCAGGAATTGTCCCTAGGCCATTTGCTGAAGTTGGGTTTATGCTTCTTGGCTGGTTTGCTGCCTTATCTCTATCTGCCGGCTTCGTCCTACCTCAGTCGAGCCCGTTGGACATGGGGAGACCAGACGACTTTTCAAGGATTTTTGACCCACTTTCTCAGGGAAGAATATGGGACATTCAATCTGGTAAATCAGGGTCATTTTCTAAATGACTTTCTTTTAACTTACGCAATAGCAGAACCTTTCTATTTGTGATGATTAATGGCTTGGTGGGGAAGAAATCAAAAATGTTTTCTTTTTTAAATTTTTTTTTCTGATTTTGACCATCTGATCTGTCAGGTTTGCTGGAAATGGATCGTGTGGCTGGGAAAGCAAAGAAATAATTCTCTTTGCCTTTACGGGGTGAGCCATGTTACTTACTGGGAGCTGTACTGGTGTCTCATATTTGCAGGAGCCCAAAGAGCAAACTGTGCTAGAGGGAGATGGAGACATCAGTTTTGCGTTTTTCTTGTTTTAAGACAAATAATTGTCTTTTTATTTTAAACTCAGCTATTTAAAGAGGTCACAAGGAGTTTTCATTGCTTTAGCTTTAAAAGAGATTCATCAAACTTATTTCTTACTAATACCGAATTGAAATGAATTTAAGTGAATGGTGGGCTTGGGGGCGGTGTCTCAGAATCCTCTGATCTGGGTTATTGACTGGGCTGTGCTCTTGCCAAGGGAGGGAGGTACGGCGTAGGGTGTGCATCTGTCTTCTCCAGCCCTGACTTAGATGTTTGGCTCTGGCCACCCAAGGAAAGCAAAGTGCCCAGCTTCTGGCCTTCCTGCTTCAGAGATTTCAGGGCAGAGGGCTGGGAAATCTCACCACCGGGGGAATAAAAAGGAAAAAAGGGATGGTTTACATATTGTGTCACTCCTTGGGGTCCTGAAGCCCCATGTCCTCAGAAATCAAGCCCCGTGCGTGCAGCAGCTGCTTGCAGCTGGCATGACGCAGCAAGCAGCGTCGCCCATTGCATTACAGCCTTCTCCTGTAGGACGTAAGAAAAAGACTTGATAATTCCTGCTGCTGCCATTTAATCTTTCCAAAACTCCTATAGAGATAAGATCCACCCTCTGAAGGACTTCTGAGATTTCCCCTGTTGTCCTGTTCCCAGCCATCTCCTGAGAATGAGCCTCCATTGGGCAGAGCAATACCAAGGCATGCAAATCCCTTAACTCCTTCCTCCATCAAATGTGATGAATTCAAGTTGATGTTCAGGAGGCTTAGGGATGGACTGCGTGTAATCCTGCACCGCAAATCACATTTAGGATGAACTTGTCTGAAGCGGGAGCAATAAATGCAGCAAAATCCAAGCGTTTGGTCCCGATGCCAGCTGGGCTAATGCCAGAGCCCTGCCTGGATGGACAGACAGCCCTCGCATCCCACACCTCCGTCTTAAGGACAGGCAAGGTCAAAAAAACCCAGAGAAAAGTCTCAGGAGAGGGTCTCGCCTATAAGCCAAGGATCAGAAATGTCATCGCCTGCGAGGGATGTGTCTGGGGCCAGAAGCCGTCAGCTGCCAGCAACGTGGGGCTGTGCAAGAAACAGAGAGGTAGCAGTGGTGCTTCAGGAGCTGTGGGCTCACCCTCCATCCTCTACCACTTCTATTATTTAATTAAATCTCAAATGCAATTAACTACTCCATTTTTATTGAGATTAAATATTCCATCCAGACTTCCTGGATCCGTTTACCTTCTCTTTTATCTGGTAGCCACCCCTTTACCACAAGCACCTAGGAAGGTCTTCTTTCCCAGACTTGCGCCATGAATTGCAAGTCTCTGCAATAAAAATCCTCATATATCTCATATAAATCTCATACAGCTCTGCCTCTGTCAGGACAGAGGGGACAGGGGTGATTCTGGTAAGCAAGCAGGAATTAAGGGCCATGTGCTTGTCTCAGGCTGTGGGGAGATGTCCCAGAAAATAATTGCACTGTGCAGATATAGGACAAGAGGATGCGGCCTCAAATTGGGCCAGGGCAGGTTTAGATTGGATATTAGGAAAAATTTCTTTACCAAAAGGGTTGTCAAGCATTGGAACGTGCTGCCAAGGGCAGTGGTCGAGTCCCCATCCCTGGAGGTATTTAAAAGATGCATAGGTGTGGTGCTTGGGGACATGGTTTAGTGGTGGACTTGGCAGTGCTAGGTAAACAGTTGGACTCGATGATCTTAAAGGTCTTTTCCAACCTAAATGATTCTATGATATAGCAGAGATCATAGCTAAACCATACGATGTGCTCAAGTCATGGGATAATGGGTTGGTAGCACCTTGAAGAAATGCTTATCCAGGGGGTAAACCCTGCACAGTGGCATAACTTAAAACAACAACATGGGAGAAAATCTTGCAATTGAGGTTTGAGTAGAGTTTGCTGCCTTTTTGTGGTTTAAGCAATTCCTGTTCCCTGTGACCACCTTGGGGTACCACCTGAAGGGGCTTTGGTGAGCCCTGCGTGCTTGGGGGTCTGCAAAGAGAAAACAAGAAGACCTTTCCTTGCCCCAGTGATACGGCAGTCAGCCTGTGGGTTTCTCATGGGTTTTCTTTCTCTTTAATCTAGGCCAAGTCCGAGACAGGATCCAGTATGAGAGAGATGCTGGTGTAAGTAAAATCTTGACTGTGCTTTTAGTGGAGAGAAACCTGTTGCTGCTGGTGTCGTTTTGGCCAAAGTGGCTCCTGTCCTGCCTTTCCTCAGCTTGGTCCAGAGCTGGGGCCGTGTGTGTCTGGCGCAGGGACAGCACGCATGTCTGTCTGTCTTCCCCATTGAAGGAAAAATGCCGGATCCCCCTCCCCAGTGATTTTTCATTCAAAATCCCACCATGTAAACCGAGCTTGTTCCCATTTCTGGTAGACTTAAGCAGAGCAGAACGGCAATATGTTATTGTTGTGCTTATTCCCTGCTTCTCTCTCGACGCTTTAATTGAGTGCAGTTTGGGGGTGACACATCCATGCACTAATTTCTCTGCAGTTTTCAGCTGGCGCAGATGAAGTCGGAGCTCTCCCTTCCCGTCCTGGCCCTGGCACTCGTGGCCTGTGTGAGCACAGCACTGCCGTAAGTTGGAGGAGAACATTTGCTCCGACGTGCATTTTCTCCCTGGCTGCACGGGCAGCTTGCTGTGCCTTCTGCTTGCTGGTGCAAAAATCTCAGCGGTTGGCTGTGGTCATTTATTAAGTAAGGGCAAAATATCCCTGCTCCTGGTAACCCTCTGGCTTTGGAAGTGGCAAGCTTAAAAATCTTGCAATCCTGATGGGTTTGTGCTTTAAAAAAAGAAGGATCATGAATTGCAAAGGTAAAGAAAGGCTCATCAGCTCCTTGTATTAAATGCGCTTAGGTATGCAGAGATATGGTGGTTTTCAAGCACATACAAGTTTTGTCCCCTGTTTCATCACGCCACGACAGTGCTACACTGTATTTTTTTTATAGGATGAAGCAGCAGAAATCACCCGTGATCTGGCTCTTTGCTGGAATGTTCTGTCTTTATTCCCTTTTCTTCGCTTGGAGAGCAAATCTGGATATTACAAAGCCTCTGTTTCTGGGCGTGGTAAGTAGCACTGCAAAAATTGCTCTGGGGTGTTCACTTTTGGAAGAAGCCTTAAAACCAACCTGATCAGGAGCAGGTGGTTGTCTTGGAGCGGCGTAAGGTGCAAAAATACAGCCGTGTATTCTGTTTCCTTATAGCCGGGGAAACAGAAGCAGGGTCCCTGGGGTTTTGTTTCCTAGGTGGAGGTGTGGACAAATTACAGGTAACAGATCCCTCGGGCGCGTGTCTCGCTGCAGCCTTTCAGGGCTGCGGGGTGCTGTGCGGTTGGGGTGCTCCTGTAACCCCCACACCCCCCTGCCCCCGCCCTGCTGCTGGGGTTTCTGTCCTTGTCTTGAAGTAGGAAGGGCACTTTTCACATCCCACCTAAGCTTGCCTGGCAGCAGCCTGTGGGACTCCCTTGTTTGATCTCCCTAAAAATCACCAAGCCCCAACTCCAGGCTCCAGTTGGGGGGGTCGTGGAGGTT